ACGTACTACTAATATATATATATATATATATATATATATATATATATATGTATATGTATATGTATATGTATATGTATATGTATATGTATATGTATATGTATATGTATATGTATATGTATATGTATATGTATATACGAGTTTTTTAGATTTATCTGTATTATCCAATTGTTTCTAATAAAGGGAATGTACCGTATCGCATACTAGTGAGTTGCGCTAATCTATGTTGTCACTGTTCCACCTGATTGAAATCATTGCAAGTCATCTAAGATTTTTGCACCTGTGTGCGAGTGCGCGTGATCGCCTATGTGAGCGCACTAAACCATACTTCAATATATACATATAGTAGTCTATATAACAGCGTAATATATTAATTATGTTACGTCGATGGCATGTGCGCAATCAAACGCAGCCAAGCATAGCTTGACTAATAACATCAATGACACACTTTCCTCCGGTTGGTTTCTGACCAGTTCCAATTACGCGAGTGAACAGGTTCTGTTGCTAAACTCCACTCCAGTACGCAGCAGATATCTCCAGATCAGAGTGTCTACTACTGTCAGGCAAGATGGAGTTTCTCATGCGCTTATCACTCGTCGTGGCTGTTCTCTCTGCTGGTGAGTATGCACACTTAGATCTTCTTTCTTTCTTTCATCATATGCGTTCTAATAACGCCTATAATAACGTCCCCCGCACCACACTGGGACGCTCCGCCTGTGTCCCCGCGTAAGGGTTCTACATAGACTCAACATTGTGCAATACGTAGTTAAATACTTGCAGTATACTTGCACAGAGAGTGCGGCCCAATCAGTCGTACATCACAAGGTGATAATATCAGATATATTAGCTCTACCCTCATTATGTAAAATTGCCATTTACTCGTGTCGGTCGCTGGCATTTCTAATGCGCACGCGCCGTAGATAATATGCAATACGTTTTGCGATAATCGGACAAGTCACGCTATGGTTAATTATACCCGCAACACGTACACGTAACCGCCGTAGAAAGGAAATAGTTAATCGTAGTATGGCGGATGTAATATCGCCTAAAATGCTTGCTGCATAATATAGCGCCTGTATTCATTGACACGGTGTTTACGTGTAGAGCTGTATGTTCGCTCAGCTAGAGCGGAGCATCGTCGCCAAGTGCGCGATGTAACAGTTTAACCGAGCAATGACTTTCAATAGTCAATTACCCGAGATGCGTGTGCGCAATTATATTCCAGTGTCGGGAATTGGAATTTTTGGAAATGGCGATGAGACGGGGTAACAGAAGCACAGATATTGCGGGAGAGGAGGTGAGAGAAGGGTGCAGAAGAAGAAGAAGAAGAAGAAGAAGAAGAAGAAGGAGAAGAATGAAAAGGCGAAGGAGCGAGGAGAAGCGAACAATAGACGTGCAATGCATCCACCGCTTCATCTTATAGTTTCTCTTCTGTTGCCGTTCTCGTTTTCAGATTTAACTCCAGTGACCACACATAGAGAAATAGTCTTAGGGAACAGGGGTCAGCTGCATCGTGTAGTCTTGAGAGAAAAAACATATAACAAATATAATAAATAAAAAATGGCCTTAAAAATCTTGTAAATAATAGAACATAATTATTCCTTCAGGCTAATGTTATTCTGCACGAGGTTTATTTCGTGACATCGTGAAATAGTACTGTCTTGTCATTATTCAGTTAGTTTACGAAATTTTGCCTCACCCGAAGAATCTGTCAGAGAGCAACGGCACCGAAACATCCATGTTCAGTTGAAAACATCAGAACGATAAACCGCGCATCATTGAGACGTGTATTTCTGGATCACGCAGAAGATTGGATAACGAACTAGACGAAGCCACGCCGACTGCGCGATCCTTTGCCGTTTCCGGATGATCGACTGAACTATCGATCAATCCATCTACCGATCTGTTTGTCTATCTCAGCAGCACACGGCCAGAACATGTATGGACAAAAGGTGGGGACATTTGTCCAGGTAGGGAGCACAGCGGTTGGAGGAGAGGTATTCACGGCAGGAGACAGGATGCTGTGGATACGCAAGGTTTTCCTAGATGAGCCGACATGCCGACGTAAGTACCGAATGTAATATATATATATATATAATAATCAGGAGTGTATAATATAATAATATAGATCAACTATGTTATAAACTCTTGTAATTATCACAAGGAACATTGGTATCCATTTTTGTCAACTTTAAAAAACTGTTTTATCAATTATTAAATGCTACCGCTAAAAGCGACGAGTGATATACACGGACTAACAGTTCCCTCCTCCAACCCTACAGTTTAACGTCAGCAATTCACTAGTATATATATACTATAGTATACTATACAATACTATACTATACTATACTATACTATACTATACTATGCTATGCTATGCTATGCTATGCTATGCTATGCTATGCGATGCTATGCTATGCTATGCTATGCTATGCTATGCTATGCTATGCTATGCTATGCTATGCTATGCTATGCTATGCTATGCTATGCTATGCTATGCTATGCTATGCTATGCTATGCTATACTATACTATACTATACTATACTATACTATACTATACTATACTATACTATACTATACTATACTATACTATACTATACTATACTATACTATACTA